AATTGAACTGTATTAATAATACAGATGTTGATGTTAAGAAGCTTATTTTCTTTTTAATTATTTTAAATTTAATCATAAGCAGATACAAGATATATGTCCCTCAAGGGCACCAATAATCGCAGGCCTATATATATATAAAATAAATAAAAGCAATATGTCATAGTAATGTTGCTCTAATGGTATGAAAGGTTTTTTAATAAACTAAGTTATTGTAGTGTACAAATACTGTTTTTTTTATCTAGTCACTTCAAACATATCTAACTATTACGTAGTGTAATAAACCATGTCTACATGTTAAATAAGAATGTTATAAAAATGTAAATAATTGAATTTCCAAACACAAGTACAAAAGATGAAGACGCCCTCTTATCGATGTGTGTGTGAGCCGTCATGTGGGGATTGTAGGATGTGACGGTCTGAGCAGGCATGCAGCAAGCATGGGCGGCCCTTTGGCACTTCAGCTGCAACAGCTGCTGAGCCCACCCCACCACCATCTCAACCACCCCCACCCCCACCACCCAACACTACCACCACCACCACCAGCACCCAACACTACTACTACCACCACCAGAAGCCAGGGTGACGTAACCACTGCCACGCTGCCAGCCTGCACGTCACATGACAGAGGTCGCTAGTCAAAGCGTGTTAGCATCTCTCCCAGCTGCTGCTTCTGAGAACTGTAACATCCTCTGTTCTCTTTTGTCACTGAATGGCCTGCTCCTCCCTCCCTTGATGAATATTCTGCAGCATGAAAACACAATGCAGTGTAATCTCCAGATGTTTGTGGTTAGGGCGGGCTTTATCAATCACCACTGGAGATGTTAATCTCATCATGTTAGACATGCACTGAGGTCTAAATCAGAACAAGGTTTTCACGCAGTCTGTGGCAGAGTGGCAGAACGCAAAAAACATGTTCTGTCCAGGAGGAAGTTTGACTGTGCTGTGTGAACTCTAAAGAATATTTTCTTCATCTTCTAATATGTCTGATCCAGGCTGCACGTTACTGGTGCCATTTTGTGTGAAAGCCTTCAGAGCTCCATCTTGATGCTACATGATAGTTCGACTGCTCACGTGCGCTGTGGAAGCACCGTACAGATAAAGCTGATCCCATTCCCTTAGCAGAGTGAGATTTCATGAACTTGCAAGTTAATTACGTTTTTATTTTACTGCATGATCTGTTGAATTAGTTTCAAACAAGACTAAAGAATGTTCAATATTACATAAGGGAACGTTTAAATGGGTAGTCACTAAATTAACTGAATGTTTTCGTCTCAAATGAATGTATTTACATTAAAAATAATAATAATAATAATAACACAACTGCAAATCTTTCTATGTTCAATCAGTGATGCAAGATGAGGGCTTTGTAATTATTCAAAAAGATAGTGCTTTGTAGTTTTCTTGTTATTTCATGTCAATGTGGGTACCGAGACAATTACTTCTAGCATTGTTGTTTTTCTTTTTCTTTCTTTTGGGCCGATCCGAAAAATGATCCGAGCCACGAACTGTAAAGTCGTTGTCACATATGCACCCTGAAAAGTTCTAGAGAATTTCGGGAGTACTGTTTCTGAAATTCTCCTGACCTGGCTGTTCACATATGCTCCTCAAAGCAGGAGACTATCTCTGTTGGACGAACAACATAACTGACGAACAGAAAACGTAATGCAGCAGTTTAATTCTGTGCACAGATATCTACCGGTTGTGTGCATGCAGTCTATGCATCGTGCAGCATTCACGGTATATATGTCACTCCCCCCTCCCCTTGGCTCGAGGTAAATTCTCCTGATAATATCCTGCTGTGTTCTCACATCAACTCACTCAGACTTTATGTGGAGAAAAAAAAACTCTAGGGGTCTGGCAGGAGAAACTCTGGGTGAAGTCCGAGTGAAAAATGTGGATGTTTGCGTTCACACATACAGCTCATCCTGCAAATATCAGGAGTTTTTCACAAGTTTTCTGCAAGTGTGAAACATGATTGTGATCCGTTGCACAACTAGATGAGGGTCAACTTCAAAGAAAATGTGCCTTAAATAGAATGAATTGAAGCACGATGGGTTAAGTAACAAAGGAAGCGGAGTACAATAGTAATAGCATTATTAATTAAAAGTAATATTGGACGTTAAAAGGTAGTTTTTCCACGAACCCAGATCCTGGCTCCATTTATGTAAGCTGCGGGTAGTGACAACCCCAAGGTGTTGTTCTTTTGTTAGGCGGCCTCCTTGTGAATGACAGGAGGAGAATCATAGCTCACATCAAAGGAGGGAAAGGCCTGGCTCGGTATCTCAGAGCGGCTTGTTTCTATCAGTGAGTCAAGTGGCTGGTCAGCCATGTTTAATGTGATCGGATGTTGGCTGACACACAGCTATAGAGCCGTGACCATCACACTGACAGCAGAGACACATAACATGATCCTGAGAGTCCACGGAATAAATCATTTTATGTTTCGTCTGTTGCCCTTTTTGTTTTAATATATCGTTGAAAAAAACGGCCTCGTGTCGTCCTCGCATTCCCAAAATCTCCATTACTCTGTCGCTCTGGATGCTTTGTGTAAACCCTTTGCATGCTAGATTACTCTGGATTACCATCGAAGCAGCAGACCTGCGTATCCGAGGAGGTGAATCATGGTGATGTCATCACCGCATGAAGTCATCTGAACACTCGGGAGTAAATCTCTAAAAAGCTGTGGTAAATGCTTGATGGTGCGACAAACTGCGAGGACAGCGTGCTCTTTTTGTCTGCAGGGCCCCGGTCACTTCTCTGCAGCTGTGTGTGCATGTGAGTTTGTTTGGAGAGAAAAACTGCAGGAAGGAGAATCCCAAATCTAACGGTAGAAACCACCCAGGCAGGCAGGCAGGCAGTGAAAAGCGAGGTCCCTTTGGTTTACTTCTAACAGAAAACCCCTTTCAAAGCCGCCTTTTTTTTTTCCATCTGTTTTGTTCAACCACAACAAAAGTGTGTGGATTTTTTTCCTCACCGAGCCCCTGTGTCCTCTCTTTTGAAAGGCAGGTGTCGCTTTTTTTTTTTTTTTTTTTTTTTTGTTTCTCTAAGCTCCGCCTCCTCTCTCTCTCTCTCTCTCCACTCAAGCTGTGACCTGCTTTGCCAATATAGCACACTCTTTCTCTTCATCTCTCATTTCTTTCTGTCCCCGCCTTTCTCTCTCCTTTTTTTTGTCTTTCTCTGTCTCTCTCTTTCTCTCTTTTTTTCTGTCATTCTTCCTTTCTATTCTCTCTCTCTTTCTTTCCCTGTCTTTTTCCCTCTGTCTCGGTTTCTCTCTGTCGTTGTCTTTCTCTTTCTTATTGTCGCTGTCTTTTTTTCTTATACTGTCTTAATCTCTTCTCTCTCTCTCTCTTTACCACACTCTCTGTTTCTAACAATAAAAGAGATACCTGCTGGTCCCATCTGGCTCCAGGTCTTTGTCACAATCTCATTGAAAGGGCCGACTGACACCTGTCTAAAAAAAAAACACAAAAAAAACCTGCCCTGTTGCCCCCTCCCCACCTCCACACGACGTCCTGTCTTCAGTGGGCACAGCTGGCGGGTTTCTCTGGGTGTCACCCAAAGCTGGCATCATGTGTGTCCATGTGGGGGCTTCTGATGCCAGCTGTCAGTCCTTTTGTAGGTGGGTCTGTGTGCCTGGAATGAGCGACTCTCGGGGCATGTGGTTGTACAATAGCTGGAATAATCTGCCACACCCATCCACGCACAACATGTAAACAGAGCCAGAGAGGCGGCGAGATAAACAGGTTTTTTTATTTACAAGATCGCTGTGAATCACATGTTTGCCGTTGTGTCGCACCTTGAGAGTTTGAGAGCAGTGATTGTAGCGTTTATTGTCACTCTGCCACGGTCATTTTTCTGCAACAAGCACAGTCCTTCTTTTGTTCTCAACTTCTTCTATTTGTATATAAACAATCCAGCATCACAGTCTTAATTATAGCTTTGTGTGTTACTAGTTGTTTCATTTGGTCAGGAGTACATTCCCACGCCATCACAAACAGTTCAGCTCCTGGGTTGCAGGTTTCGCCCCCTGCTGGCTGTTTACGGTGGAGAGGATAAACAGTGCTGCAGGCTCACAGGTCTGTTAACACATTGATCTGGTAGCTTGCCTGTGAGTCATTAGACCCATTAAGCACCACTTACCGACCGAGTCAAAGTTTTAATTGCTGTTTGGCGGCTCGTCTGTTATTATCAGCTTGATTTACAAAGCGGAACACCAACATTTAGCTGAAGAGATGCGGTCACTTTCACTTCAGCACGGCATTAACGGCTATAGTGTGAGCATTATTCCACTGTCAGGACATCAGTCAATTAGTGAAAGTTCATATGGTTTTTAATTCTGATATTCAGAGTCATCCCCTCGCTATGCTCCACTCAGAATTCCAGTAATATTAAACTGAGTAAGTATGACATTGGCATGCGTCTTGTATGTGTCATATCTAGTTGTGAAAGTTAGATGATTCAAAACCGGTCTGAGAATGTGTCAGCAACCGTTTTAAAAGTCATTTTTTTTTTTTAGTGTGAGCGGATGTGTTTGGTTTATTTGTTTGTGAAGATTGAAGATTTGAACTATTGGACAAAAAAAGACCCTGCAGGGAGCATTTTACAGTTTTCTGAAGTTGATGTCTCCCTCTGCAAGCACCCTGCTGCCTCTGTCACCCATTTCCATCACCACCACCTTCCCTCATTAGTCCATGTATGTCTGCTAGTCCTCCATTCTCGCACTCCTCCTCTCCTCCTCCTCCTCCTCCTCACTCTGCCAGATACTCTTCCTCCAGACCTCACTTTGGTGCTTCTTCATGACCTTTCACTAATGTTTTGGGCTCTGTGCATTGATTGGTTTAACCTCTGGGATGACTCAACTGAGTCGCCTGTTCTTCCTCATTAACAGACACGATAAAGCTCGCGTCCTTTTCTCCTGATCGCGAACGTTAACTTGTTGCCTTTTTTTCTCCCTGTTTCCGATCGGCTTCTTCTCACCCTGTTAATGCTCCTCCCAACAGAACAATGACAACGAGACGCCGCTGCACTGTGCCGCCCAGTACGGCCACTCGAGGGTCGTTCAGCTGCTGCTGGAGGAGCTGACGGACCCCACCATGAGGAACAACAAGTTCGAGACCCCTCTGGACCTTGCTGCTCTGTATGGCCGCCTCGAGGTGGTCAAGCTTCTGCTCTGCGCGCACCCCAACCTGCTCAGCTGCAACACCAAGAAACACACTCCGCTGCATCTGGCCTCTCGGAATGGCCACCTTTCTGTGGTGGAGGTACTGCTGGACGCTGGCATGGACATTAACTACGAGGTGTGTGTGTGTGTGTGTGTGTGTTTGTTAACTTGGATTTTAAAATGTTTCTTACTATGCTGCCATGGCTCAAATCATGTTGAGAAACGTAATCTTTACTTGCAGCACTTCCTCTCGCTACTTCCTACCACAGCAATGAGATTAAATGTAAAACTCTTGAGCTCTCCGTTTGCAGAGACACTGAAGTGTTTTCAAAAGCGGCGCTGGCCTTGCTCCCCCTGGTGGCCCCCATGGCTCTGACTCTGTACCAAACTGTGCCATCCATCTTTCTTCCCCCCCCTCCTCCTTTTCTGTGCCCTCCTTTCCTAAGCATCGAACACAGAGTGTATCCCGTGTCCTTCAGGCCTGACGTCCTGCAGGTTTCAATTAGCATGGCCCTGTGAGCTGGAAAATGATCTGCTTTGACTCTTCACTCACATGGTTGTCAGTAGGGAGGTGGACCGGGCAGTGGGCTCAAAATCTGGTCGTCACTATACAATGTTTATGTAACTGGTGCAAGAACAGGAATGCTGCAGGTTTAACAAAGGCTGACTCATGTGGGAATAGTAGAAGGAAATAAACATGAGCTTTATTTTCATAATATTCATATTCATGTCAACTCTCTCCCTGTGCCTCTGGTTGTTTATGCCTTTTGCTTTAATTTTCTACGCAGACGGAGAGAGGCAGCGCTCTCCACGAAGCAGCCTTGTTTGGGAAAGCGGATGTGGTGCAGAAACTCCTCGGTGCAGGTCAGGGACACACAAGCAACATTTGAATCGTTTTGTAGAAATAAGTCAAAACCAACGCTTGACTGTTGTCCTCTGCCAGGTATCAACGTGAACATCCTCGACCAGAAGGGCCTGACAGCGCTGGACACTGTCAAGGACATGCCCTCACAGAAGAGCAGAGAGATCGTTGCTCTCGTACTAGGTACAAAAATAAATAAATAAATAAATAAAAACTAATAAGAAAGCAGTGGGGAAGTGGGAAGTGTTCCTCTTGATTTCACATTCACCAGCTGTGATACAATCTCCTGTTTGTCTGTTGCAGGTCACATGACTGGAAAACCCCCTGACATTGACCTTCCCCCTCCACCAATCCCTCCGCCTCAGGAGAGTCCTAGCCCGAGGAGAAAGGGTAAGACTTACCAGATGTTAAAACAAGGGTTCAGTAAGCAGCTTAAACAGAAACCACAGAGAAGAGAAAATGCAATTAAGGGGATCTTTAATTTCCTCAGCTAAGAATTGTCTCCCATTATTGTGCTTATAAACATTGCATATGTACACTTTGGCCTGTTTTAACCGCACCTGCTGCCCACAATATCCGCTCAGGTCTTTTATTTTGAAGATAATCTGTTATCATCAGCTGCCCAATTGGATGGCTTTTTTGTTTCATGTCAGATTATCTTAAAAATTAGCCTGGTGTATACTTCTTCAACTTTTAATTTAGAATGGAATAGAATATAAATCCTTTATTGTCTTTATACAGTTTTACAACAAAATGAGAAATTCTTCACCTTAAAATGCACAGACATACTGAACATGCATCCATCAGCAACAAACTACTTGCATTCAAGCAGGAGAAGAAGTGATTGACCCCAAGGAAATTTTTATTCTGCAGACAAGAAAGAAAACATACAACAGAGAGGTGAAAAAAATACTGTATAGGAAACAACTCAGTGGGTTAGCTGCCAATGTTAACATGCTAGTTGGTATATTTTGACCTGTTTTAAAGGTGATCTTGACAAGGTGAGTGAGTTGATCTCTGGGCTGGCCCCGGGGCCCGAGGAGGAGAGTCCGTACGAGGCTCTGTTTGAAGCCACCTCCTGCCACTCTCTGGACAGCCTCACCAGCGGCAAATCGTCCGACAGGGATTCTGGACGGCCGGATAGTGAAGCTGGCAAGGTATGCAGTGGTTTAACTGAGGCCCATCCTCACACACACACACACACACACACACACACACACACACAGAGTTTTGAATTGGAGTTGCAATACAGAACTCCCACTAGAGGGTGATAGCGGTCCTCCATACACATGAGTGAGGCTTTAAACCCCTCCAGGATAAAGCTTGATGTGTCACAGGGAGGAGAAGCAACGCGTTTCTCGACATGAATGTTGCAACACACTCATAATAGTTTTATCACACCTCATTTTTTTTTGATCATTTACAGAAAGATCGCCTGGCTCACTCGTCACATCCTGGTCCCGGTCATGAAGAAGAGGTGAGATCATGAACCCAAGTTGTGGGGGGAAAAAAAACAAAAAATTAAAATGTAGTGGTTAACACCAACACAATGTCATAGAAGCATTCAGAAAATTCTTGTCTGCCACTCAGAAAGCTCCTGTTTTTTTTTTTTATCCCTGACCTCGTCATGACTGCATTTTTAATGGCTGCTGCTGCTCAACTCCAATGACTTTGTAGTAAATATTAATGCGAGTGTGGCCTGAGATAGAGAGAAGAAAAGTGGAAAAATAGACACACTCTCAGTGAACCTGTCCGGCCTTAAATTTGGCTGACTATGGAGGATGTATTGTTGTCGTCACCTGAAGTTTGACTTACAATCTTACCTGCTCTTACTCTGAAGTGAAGGCTTCAAGCTCCTGTGAGGAGTTTTGAACTGGTTCGTCAAATCATCATGTCCTGACATGGACTCAGTCGAGTCAAAACACATATCCACATCCCTGTTTGATAAAGGATTTTTATAATGCATCAGAGTGCTTCAGATTTTCAGTTTAGACTGAATTTTCTTCACAATTAACTGTGTTTGTAATCAGGACAGCCATTTATTTTTTAGCGATTTGACTCTGTCCCCTGCCCTTGAAGAGCGCCCGATTCCTCTACATTTTTTGAACCAGTGCAGCACTCACCTCAACCTTTTTTTTTTTCTTCTGTCATTGAGAAGGTTGATTTTTCTATACCTTTGTTTGATATACTGTCACCACTGCTTGGGGGCAGGCGTCAGATGAGCCAATAAACAGCACATCTAAGAAACACTCCATACGTTTAAAATAAAGACTAATGACTTGTTGTTGTGAAACACTACTTGCATATGACAGGGCATGAAAAGCAGAGAGAAGCATCTTCCCGATTACTGGGGTTGCTTAAACTAACACAGCTAAATCATTTCATCGAGTCAGTGCAATCATTTCCCACCGACATTTTTTGTGACCTTCTCTTTGTGTCTTCTTCTGCAGGCGCTTTATACAAACAGCAGCATAGCTGAGAGAGGCGAGCAGGTGGAGGAGGAAGAGGAGGATCACACATACGAGTTGCTGCTGACGGCTCAGACCAAAATCCCCCCGCCCAGCCAGGAGTCCAGATCCAGTAAAGGTAATAGTCATCACTGTCACTGTGATCCAAAAGAAGGAAGCTATAACAAAAAGGGTGTAATTCCAGAGATTTTTGTTTTCTGTTTTTTGTTTGTGGGCAAACCCCCCCACCCTCTCTTTACGGTTTGTATACCAGTGCACTGCTCATCTGGGCAAAAATTCAAACAGAGTTGGGCTCATTTTCCAAACTTAAACTCCACTGACATTTTCTAAGAACGACATAATACATTCCTATCCTAACAAGCCTGACAGCCCACACACACACACACACATGACCAACCCTCTTCCTGTGGCTGCGTGTGTATATATGTATGAGCAGACCCTCCTTTTTGGTTGCGGCCGATGAATGGCACTGCATGTAATTGGATTAAATGGGATTAAATTAGAAGGCCATTTGGATCCCTGGCCGTTGATGTAGATGTTTTAAAAAGCGGCCCCTCAGGCCTGCAGGCTTAGTCAGCCTCAGTAGCTTACCATTAGAAAACGTCACCGAGCAAAAGGGTTGGAGTTTGATTGCTGATGTCATCATGCCCTCCCCTATGTGTGTGGGGGGGGGGGGGGGGAAGAGAGAATGTAACTGTTCTGCGTCTTCTTGGCTCTTAAAAGATTATCTTGCCATTTGTTTAAAAAGTGCTTTATCATGTCTGCAGCGTTCGAACGGCCAGGAGATTAATCTGAAGTCTCTCCGGCTCTCCTGCGATATTGCCATGCATAATACATGATTTTCTCATACATCACTTTCTCTTCCATCTAACAGTCAGAACAGGGAAAACATTGTGTCTGACTGTGAATAAATGGTGAGCAATTGAGGTCTTCAAATTTTCATCCGTCCCGACTAAGGTTGTCGACATGTTTTAATTTTTGGCGTCTCATAAAGAAGTTTACTTCTCTTACAAACTGACTGACAGCTGACTTTCTTAGACACGTTTAAGGCCGTTTTCATGACTTATCTTGGAAGATTAGATCTTTAAAAAGAAGAAATTACCAATATTGGGTTGGGTGCCTTGGACTTCGATTTTTTTTTGTTGCCATGGCATCAATATCGTTTGATTTGTACTAGTATCAAATCTGAGATTAAAATTCTGGTACCCTGACGATGTCTTAACTTTGTTTTTTTGTTTTTTTTTCCGATCTTCTTAGATGAGAAAACCACTACACAGTCTTCCAACAGTGTCCTACCTCAGGTAAATATAAGCTGCTTCCTTTCTTCCTTCTCTTATATCTTTCACAATACATTGATTTTAACTGTTTCTTTGGTTGTCATGAATGTCAGTTCTCCAATCCTTCTACAAACACAAGCTGTACAAAAATGAAATAGTCTGAGTTTTGACAGCCAGAGAGCAGTATCCCTGCTGCCATTGGTACTACACGGCCGCATGACTTAAGCAGATTATATAATAAAGATGAAGGTCTTGTCGTCGTCAAAGATTGAGTCATACGTATGTCAGCAGAAGGCACAAGTCGCCATAAACTAGCCCTCATATATGGATCTCCACGTAAACCCTCCTGCTTTATTTATCGTCCCATCATATCTGATTTTATTGCTTTTTGCACTTTTTGATGCAGTTAGCAGCTTGTATTGTTACTACAACCCCACCTGCTGCCCACAATATCTGCTCGTGTCTCTTATTTCAAGCTTAGGTTTTCTCCTCAGCTGCCTAATCAAAATAAAAGAGCGACACATTGACCCCTCTGCCCTGATCCTCAGCCCGGAGAGATCAGACACAACATGACATGTCATGGAGGCAACCAATGGGATGGCATCTTTATTTCCTGTTAAGCTTACACTAGTTTATATTAAAAATACAGAAAACAAACAACTTGGAGAGCTGCAGATTCGACTATGTATGACCTGTTAACTAAACAACAAGATGTGCTTTGTTTTGAGCGGCAGATGTGATTGTACCCTCTTTTTTTTTTTTTTCCTGTTCCATTTTAGCGTAAACCCACTGCCCCAAATGACCTCAGAGCCCCTAGCAAAACGAAAGACACCCTGCACCCTCCTGGGCGGGTGGGCCCAAAAGCTTCAGGAGGTGAGTTTCTTTATCTCCGTCTCTCAGATTTTTTTGTAACCTAAGAGGGAACAACTGCTGCTGCTGGAAATGCTGCGAGGGTAAGGAGATGTGCAGTGGACACATTACACTTGAAAAACACAAGCCAAGCATGTCAATGAAAGAGGAGAGATGAGTTGGAGTTTGCGGGGAGAGATGGGACTGGCTTGGATTAGCGCTGCTTGGGAATGCATGACTGGCATACTCAGGCAGCAGAGCGGATTTGGCTTGTCGGGAGAAGGCTGATTGACGCTCCCTGGCAAGTGGGGAGAGATTCATTCCTCTGCCGATATGAAACAGAATTCTTAATCAGATTGTGACATTCATATCTCAGACTCATATCCCGCCTACAGCTGGATCCACTACGTCATCCAGTCAGGAACAGAGCAGAGGTAAGGAGAATGGCCTCTGGGATTTTTCTGACACATATAAATATCTTCATTGAATCATTATTTTCTGCAGCATGGTTACATAATGAACGGTGCAGGCGTGCATGACAGACCAGCTGATTTGATGGTGGTGTTTACAGGAGGATACGACTATTTTTGCATTAGGGTGCTCATTGGATTCTTATTTTAATGTTGATGTAAGAGTGTTTGAAGTAATTTTCTCCCAAAGAATTTATTGACGACCCCTGCCACAACATCTACATAAAATATTGAATCATGATGTAACAGATATGTGAAAATGAGGAACCTTAAAACTCCTGTGAGGAGTTTTTAACTGGTTGTGAAATAGACTGAAATTAATATTGATGCCTCTTTATATGATCTATGAGAGCAAACAAGACCATCTACTTAAAGCAATAATCTTATATTTTATGTCTGAAACTACTGCTGCAGGGTAGATGTCAGACACGGGGAGTGAGATTTATTTTGTTGAAAAACATTTTTTTTTTTACACATGAACAGGACAAAATCAGCAAAGAGATAAAAGGGACAGCTTTGTCCACAGGGGGCGCCAAAATCGACTCAAACTGAAAATTCCGGACACGAGTTTTAAAGGGGATTTTCATATCAATTTGATTTTGAGTCATTTTTAAGTTAATGTAGTCAAATTAAGCAATGTATTCCTCAGTTTTGCTTCACTGACTGATGAAGCAGAGTTCTCTTACTCACTAAGCCTTGTCAGCAGTGCCTACATATACCAGAATGCATTGTATTGAAAGTACCATGGCAATGAAATCACATGCTGTCATATTTTTAGGATGCTATTGCTGTATGTGGCATAGTTTGTGAGAATTAAAATCCCAGCTGAAAGAGTCTTTGTTTCAGGCCAACTACATCAAATAATGGTGCTCGTAGTTTTTAACATTTTAAACCTAACTCTGATTGAAGGAGATGAGGTTGAAAAATTGGCAAAGAATCCCTTTAATGCAATTAGGCAGGAGCATTATGCAGTCAGAAAATGGGACTTGATTGAATTTCTTTTTGAAAAGTATCTGATGATGACAAAATTGGACGTTTTCTAGCATTAAGTAATTCATGAACAAATTGTTTTAAAGACAAGAATTGAATTGAGGGGCCGCCAGTGGCCTAGTGGTTAGTGCACGTGCCCCATGTAAGGAGACTATAGTCCTTTAAGCGGGCGGCCCTGGTCTACTCTCTCTCTTTCCCTGGTTTCTGACTCTATTCACTGTCTTTTCTCTAAAATAAAAGCTTAAAAAAAGAAATATAAAAAAATATATAAATAAATTAAATTGCAATTTCATAAGAAAATAGACCTCATTGTCTTGATTTAACAAGAGATTTGAAGATTAACTTTTAAATATTAAACATGATGATGAGTGTTGTGCAGAAGCAGCAATGTTTTTGTCGAGCCTGTTATGCCACATACCTCAAGAATCAGAGACTGTTTTTAAAGGCTGGTGTTTTGGTGGAGTCAGGGCGTAGGGAGCCCTTCATTTCTTCACATCCTCCCCAGTTACTCTTAAATAATACTCTCTTTTCCCTATTTGAAAACCACAGAAACCACAAGTTTGTTTTATATTTGAAAACCGCTGTGGGAATTTTCTTCTCTTTTCTGACTCACTTGGCTCATCAGAAAGTCTTGGTTCCTACTTTTTAAGTTTAACAAAAAAAAAAAAAAAAACCCACACAGCTTCCCCAAAAATAAATGTTTACTTATGCACATGTGGTTATAAATGTTTTCAGTTTTGATTGAGTTGGTTTGAGGTACAATTCCCTCCCCCTCATCAACACTGTGCGGACCTCAGCGCTCTGTGGCAGGTGGGGCAGATATGTGCACGGTCAGCAATTCTGTGGCGTTTATCATCTGTCACAAACACATTGCTGCTCTCAGCAGGAATATAGTGTTTCCCCACAGACGTCCACCTCTGTGTCATGTTTTAAAGAGCCTCCAGTGGAGAAGTAACATCCTCCAATTTGCCACAGATCACAATAGATTCCACAGTACACAGCATTATTGATGATGGTAAATATTCTTCTGTGATTTTTAAAGACAAAAATGGCAAATGAGTACTTCTTCCAGCATCTTAAATGTGAGGATTTGCTGCTTTGCTTTGCCATGAATGATCATAAAGGAAGACTCAGACTGCGATCATCTCTTGGGGCGCTGGTGGCGCATTGGTTAGTGCGCGTGCCCCATGTATGGAGGCTGTAGCCCTTCAAGCAGGCGGACTGGGTACAAATCCGACCTTTCCCGCATGTCATTCCCCACTCTCTCTCTCTCCCTGATTGCCGACTCTATCCACTCTCCTGTCTCTCCAATAAAGGCACAAAAAGCCCAAAAATAAATATAAAATAATAATAAATCATCCCTTTGGGCTCAAATTGTGTTGGAGCAGTACAAAAACAGCAGAATAAAGAAGAAGATATGTCCGCTAACTTACTCAAATGACACAAAAAGTTTTTTATTCTATCACGTTTCATAGACCTCTGACCTCTCTTTTTGTCGCATTTGAGGAAGTGAGCCGGCCAGGCATTTCTTCTTCTTCCGTCTTAGATTTTATTTTCATATTATAAAAAAGGGAACTAAATACTTAATACTTAATAACTTAGAACTTAATAACAAACCAGCGGTATTTGTTTACCCACATTACTGTAAATGTTCAAATATCAATGCATAGCCTTCAGTTCCTTTTAGACTTCTTGCAGTCATGACCATGTCTTTAAATCTACATTAAAACCAGAGCATGAATCGACTTCAGAGTATGTCGACGTCCGAGTGACAGCCAGCACCGGCTGCAAAACAAACATGACATCACCTGTTAGACATGGAGATGTCTCTGCCAAATATAATACACATCCCACCTCTGCGGTGACCTCACCCGTCTGTTAGAGCTGCAATAACACCGGATTGTGTCCGGACGCAATTTTTTCCAACATGGAGCTGTGTGGGCAGAGAGGGGGTGGGGGGGGGGGTGGAGGGGGGGGGGTGATGTGGTCTCAGTGAGGGTTAACACTGTGTGAGATTGTTGGAAGCACATTGATGTTCTCATAGGGCGTTCACACTCCTCAGCTGCCAGGAGAGGGTGGGTGTTTGGCTGTGGTCCTGACATATGCGCACAGAACACTCACTCCCCTCCTTGAACACACACAAACACCTACACACACACACACACACACACACACACACACACACACACACACACACACACACACACACACACACACACACACACACACTTTTTTTTTCCCAGACAATCAAGTGTGGAGCAGCTTGTGAAAAAGGAGTACAGGGCGTTGGTAGGCGTTGCAAATGGCCCCTGAGACGCTTAATGGTGCATTTTGTTGTGTTAGCGAGACAAACTTTTAAGTAGTACTCTCCCTCCTCCTCATGTTTTGTAGATAAGACTCCTTCACAGCCGGCTCCTTTTTTTTGATGTTTTCACTCTTAAAGCAGCGGGTTTGCGAGACAGCAGACCGCGAATCCGTCAACAGAAGCTCTTCTCTTCTCTGAAGGACAAACAAAGTGTTGCACCAGGTCACTACTTTTCCTTGCGGTGTCTCTGTCCCAGTTTCCCTGTCACCAAACACCCTGACCCTGTCACCCGGGCAGAGACAGTCCACACACACGTACACGCCGATCCTCTACACACACACACTCCTTCACCATGTGTCACAGAGCTAATTATCAGGAGTCTGGTTTGCTGGAGGATAGGGTGATTCGAATTTCCATTCCTGAGGCCCCATTAGGGTCTAGAATTAGAAGGCAGCAAAACACAGAGGGCTGCTGGTCACACGGCAGTCAACAACACGCATCCGCACGGTGCAGAAGGGAAGATGCCCGAAAGGACCACACACAGGCTGATGTGAATTTTTTTTCTGGAGACGGTGCGTTGGCGCGGACATCCCGTGGCTGATTTGATTGCAGAAAAGAGGCTTAGGTGGCAGTAATTCCTCCGGGAGAGGGGAGGAGGAGAATCTAATTGTTTTTAATTGCTCTCGCCCGCTTGGTCTCATTAAGGAGTTGTTATTGTTGGAGAAGACAGCTGATGTAAGTTAAACTCCTCTTGGTGGTGTTTTATGTCATTTTTCTTTTCTTTTGGGTGAATACTCTGGTGTGTGTGTGTGTGTGTGTGTGTGTGTGTGTGTGTGTGTGTGTGTGTGTGTGTTGTGTGTGTGCGGTAACAGGGATGTGAGTGTTAGTCAGTAGCTTAGGGGGAAACTCTTAATGCTGTGTCATTTCAGTAAGAAAGGGACCCAACAGAGGAGTGGGCCTGTAAGATGAGGCTTGCTCCAAATATGACAAGCTTTAACGCAGTGTTACAAAAGACAGGCGGCGAGGCACCAGCAGAGAGTCGTCAGACGGCTGCAAGCTGGGTTTGGAATTCTGATATTTCTCCGGCCAACATACGCATTCTCCTCGCTCCTTCTCTTCTCTTCTCTTCTCTTCTCTCTCCTTCTTTTTCTCTCCGTCACTTCTGGTAGGAAACAATTGCAGATCTGTTTCTAGGCTTGTGTGGGAGGCTTCTTATTAGCCTCGCTGCAAGGATCCTGCCCCTCAGTCAGAGGTCCACTTTCAAGCGCTAGAAAACTTTTTTTTTCTTCTTTTTTTCCCCTCCCCAAACTTCTCTCTGACTTTGCTCTGTTTCGCTTCTCGCCCCGCAGATAACTCCCAGCTCAGCGGGGATCAGGGAGCAGGTGTCCCGGAGCAGTTCACGGGCCTCCTGCACGGATCCTCCCCTGTCTTCGACTGCCAGGAGGAGCCCTTAAGGCTTCCAGGTGTCCAGCCAGAATCGAGAAAGCCTGCCAAAGTAAAGGAGGAAAAGGCAAAGACGGGAGCAGCTGCGCCAACACCGAGCCGTCCTAGCATGGCCGCCATCCTGACAGACTGTGATCCAAAAGCGATTTATGCCACTGTGAACAAGGAGCCCAGGGACTCCTCAGGGGCCGGGGCTGCCGTGAGGATGCGTCCTCCTGGAGACCTGAAGCTGGCACGCAGCCTCTCCAAGTCTGACTCAGACCTGCTCGTGTCGCCTCCTAGCGAGGAGGACGGGGGATTGGGAAACCGGAGCGAGTCTGTTTCTAATTGTAGCACCGGCAAGAAGAGGCTGGAGAAGTCTCCATCTTTCACCTCCGAATGGGACGAGGTAAGTGTTTGGGTGTGCGTACCTTTTGGGCGCTTTGAGTCTTTGTTTATACCAGAGCATTACTGTTGCCTACAGTACTGACTAATGTGAAGCGTTTTGACAAGGTCTTTTAATTTGTTTACATACAATAGTTCCTTCAATAATTTTAGTTACATAAGAATGAAGAAAGAAAAGTGTCGGATAGAAATACAACACCAGAACAGAAACTAAGACACACAACAAAGCAGCCTGAGATACAACCACAACACATGTTAAACAAAAATCAATCATGTTTATAAAAAACTCTAGGAAGGAATCATTTAACATCATGTGGAACGTGTTTGTACTGGAGCTCTTTTACAACATTTTTTGAACACAGAATTCGAGCATGACTAAAATGAATACATGATTTATGAGGACATTGTCTAGAATTCCTCTTGTGTCCTCTTGTTTGGGCCGAAGTCAGCTTGTTCTTGTGCTGAAACAACAAAGATGCTCACGTCAACAACTCCAACACGGTGGATGAAAAACCTCAGGATCTACAGTAAACATCTCTGTTGACTGTAGTGATGTTTTTGTCCTGAGGGGGACTCGCTGCAATTTGAGCTCGACAATCGTTTGTATACACAAACCGTCAGCAAAACACGGTCTGTGCGAGAAGATTTAAGGTTCAGTTCTTTTAAGGAATTCATTTTGCAAAATCCACGTGAAAAATTGCACAATCCTGCCCTGTGTTTGTCATAAGCATGGATTTTCATAGCTAAATATATCCCTCCATTCAGTACTTTAATGCTTTGTCTGGGATGTAGATGAAGAAAAAAAAAAAAAAAAAAAAAGCTAAGCAGAGCCACGGAGAGAAGAGATTAAACAGGACAAGAAGACGGGGGATAAAACAGCTGAGAAGCCGAGGAAGTAAGACAAGAGAGGGAGATTTAGAAATGGAGATTCAGACGAGACGCACAAGCTGCAGATCCGTCTCACTTCAATATCGTCTTGTTCTTTTGCAAAGGCATGGGAACTAACCTGAGTCTGTCTTTAAAAAAAAAAAAACATATCGTACACACAAAACATAAGTCAGTGAATAAGTACAGATTTTATTACAGGGAAAATATCAGTTTTTTTTGTTTTGTTTGACTCTGCTGCTTGAAAACCACAAGAAACAATCAAATAGCTAAATCAGCATATTTTCTACCACTGTATTAGTTTAATGGGCCGTGAGATTAGAGGACAGATAACAATGAATGAGCAGAGGTATATAGAGTTGTGCCCTCCCTACATTATCCTATAACAATCCTCTTACTGTGAGCAGGATTAATGATGTCCTCCAAGCTTCTCGATGAGTATCTTAGCATGTTTGCCCTTTGCATTTTTAGCATTCTGCTCTGTTACATGCTGCCCTACGACTGTTACAGCTCTCCTACGCTGCAGTGAATTCCAGTAGTCCATGAGAGATGACTTACATTTATGATGCCGGATCGAGCGAATCATGGGCTCAGATAAGCCCTCTGTGCTAATGCCCTCCCTCCACAGTGGGGAGGAGATCGTGTTGCAAGCCCCGTGTTCCTTTACATGATGGCCATCACAACAGCTACAGTGAGCCGAGATATCCGTGGCTTTCAGGTCGATAACTTGGCTGCTTTGGGCCAGCGGTTTGTATTTGGGATGGTCAGAATCGAACACTTCTTCGATCACCTCAGTAACCTCTCCGCTATGATTTGTGGACGTAGTGATCCAGAAATTCAATACATCTCTATGTGACTTTGATGGTTGATGGTTGTGGATGAGCTCAGTGGATACTAATCTGGGGGATACTGAGATTTTCCAGCTTTTAAGCCCCCCTTTCCCAACCTGAGCGATGTTTGAGACTAAAACAACATGCACTTAAATAATGTGATACAGTTGCAGCATTTTGTATCGCTGTATAATGTCAATGACCTCCTTCGTTTTCTTGTCTCAACTATGAAACTGTAACGTGATTATTATTATTTTTGTTTTTTAAAGTTATTTTTGGGGCCTTTTCGCCTTTTTTATTGGACAGGACAGCTGAAGAGTACGGGGAGGGGGGGGGTGGGTGACATGCAGCAATGGGCCGAGATCGGATTCAAAACCCACTGCGTCTGCGACGAGGACTACAAAGTCTGTAAATAGGGCGCACAACATAAACACAAAGGCTAACATAAAGGCTAAGGGTGCTCCCGACTTGATTATTTTTAAAAAACATAACCGATATTAGAATTTATGTTTTTTAGGTTTGGACAGAAATAATCCACAGGTCACTGATGTGAAAGCTGATACACTTCAAAACTTCTCAAGGTAACGATTAGAACACAAATCAGGATAACTTGAAAAGAAGTGAACTGGCCAAATTAGAGGTTGACAGCGGAATAAAAGAATGTAAGGAATGCTGTATCGTGATCGTTATGGTGGGCCATGTACCCCCTATCATGTCATTTTGTGATCTACCCTGATCCCCCCCCCCCCCTTTATATCCACCAATATATTTGATTAGCATTTGTTTAGCTATGTTGCTCTGCAGACAGTTCTGGGAGCATTTTGAACTTTGGAGTGGAGCACACTCTGTTGGACAGCTGTCACCTTGTTAATGCTTTCTGCTTCATGAATTCAGTAAAAAAAAGAAGTTTAATATCAATCCCATATCGGCACCATTAATATCGGTCAGGCTCTAATATTTATATCGATGTGGTGCAGTCATAAAACTATGCCAGCTGTTGTGTTGACGTCCTTGCAGTTGTGAGCTCACTGATAACAGCCAGCCAACAGCAAGGACGCTGCTGTGGAGGTGAAGGTCTCTATGAGGGCCCGTTTATGTTTGACAGCAGATCGACCTGCTGTTTGTTCCGTCTGGAAGTAATCCCCGTCAACACTCACACGGAGAGGGTGCCAGTACACTTACGGAGGCTCGTCAGAGTTTAAAACACTTCTCCAGCCTGAAGCCAAATCACACACCTCGGCAGAATGACTCACTCACTCTCTTGTGGATACAGTCGGTGTAACCTTGTCTTTGGAATTTTATAGCTGTGAGCATTCACAAGTACAAAGAAGGGTTTTCGACCTTGATCTGCTTCAGCATGTTCAGACTGTGAGAAACATCAACAACTTAACTTTAGTTCATTGTTTGTTCGAAGTCTGCCGAGGAGACACCGACTGGTAATTGAAGGTAGTGTTTGACTACAGAATGATAATAACTGGCCTCCTCTGTATGCAGTCACTCAGTTCCATTATTGTGTCAGATTCAAAACGATACCACACACTGTCTCACTCTGAAGTTTGACGTGACGGTGTAGTTATCTGCCTCAGACTTTAAATGACTAATAATAGTCACAGACATACAACTTCAACAGTTTCATCTACTCTGTATAAGTCTGGTAAACGAGATTCAACCATCAATCATAGACATGCATACTTTTAGATCTTCAGTCATCTATAACTCTATGATAGTATTATTTATTCTTCAGTCAAAGTGATTGCCCAAATCTGGATCTTTGAAGCCCATAATGATATACTGTATATTGGCAATAAAAAAAAAATCTTTATTAGTTATTATTTTATTTTTTTACTTGAAGATGGGATGAAAACATTCTTTATACATATCCTGTATTTTATTCATTTTGTCAGAGGTATGTACCAAAGTGGGTTATTTTACAGTGAAAACTAAAATCAACTTGTCAGTGCTCCCTGCTGGACAAACAATGAAATAAGAAGAGTGTCTCCTTCATTTTTGAATCCAGTGGAGCATTTCTAAATATCAATCAATCAATCTTTATTTGTATATCGCCAATTCATAACAAGTGTTATCTCGGGACACTTTACAAAAACGCAGGTAAAAGACCTTACTTGTTGCTATATTACAAAGACTCAGCTTAATCCATCATGAGCCTTAGCAAAATTCATTTGACTCCTTCTACCAGACATGATCTAAAGAAAGTTCTGGAGTACACAAATCACTGAAGGCAAATTTAGTTGAAACATGCTGACGCACTAATATTTTCTTTTTTAGCCTCGTCTGTCTAGTTATAACACAATTGTGACAAATACCAACCCAAAATGTACCAAAACAAAAAGGGAAAGCTTATTTTAATGTGATCCAACACTAACTGCTCATCTTAAAGGTTAAAAAGCACAAAATATTCACTTATAATGGTCGAGAAGCAGAAAAAAAGTGTCTGACACCCCTCCTGGGATATAGTCGTCCCTCTGCTGCAGAACAGTTTGCTAGAGTTTGGGAACATTTGAAGTTATTGAATCTTTTAATTCCCCTTTCAGACTCGGTGGTCACAGGCAGGGCACTGTGCAGTCTCATTATCCAGTTTTAAAGAACAGTCCTCACCTCCTCTGACTGTATCTGGGGGATGGAGCCTTTAGGAGTGTGACAGGACTAACACAGCAGCAGCAGCAGCAGCAGGATGACGATGTTTTCTTGGTTAGAGGTGGTCTCTGCTCATCCATGAAGCCCTCTGCAGCCACTTACAATCCTCTGTTGGCTTGCCTGCGGTGTTTCTGCACAGATGAACTGATTAGGTTGAGAATTGATCTGGTTGTGAAAGGAGAAAAAAAAAAAACGGCTTAAGAGGAGGAGGAGGAAACAGAAGGTACAACTGTCCTCCTGCGCAAACATGCCCTCCCATGTGGCGGGAGAACAGGTTGAATTATTGGCTCTTCCAAAAAGATTCACTTCAGGCTCATTTACTGTATGCACAACTACAGTATGTGTTAGTGAGTGAACTTCAAGTTCATCTAAATGCCTCCAAGCTTATTTAAAATCTGAAAGTAGGCTCCTGGCAAAGAGCATCACAATGCATCCTTAATTATTCATTCATCACATGGGAGTGGATTTTTATTTACTCTCCACTCTGTCGGCCTCAGAAGGAAATTGTTTTGGATAATAACACTAGCATCCATCTGACCTTGAAAATGTATTATTTCTCTCAGGATGTCTGAACAGAGTAAAACATGTTTCTCCCTCGGAGGAGCCTCTCATGCATGTGCAGGTTTCTCATCAT